TATCAGCCGGCTTGTTTACTCCGCTCATTTCATAGATTGCTTTTCCAAGTTCTTTCAGTTAATAGCGTGGCTTATGAACACCGCTCATTTTCATATTATGCACCGAAAATCTAAAACAGTCTACCTGGTCATATCAAAAACTCTGAATCTGTCTCTACTTTTAAGCAACGTTTGAAAACTTTTCTTTTTAGGAATAATTACTGTATATAGTTTCATTTAGACTTTATTTATTGTGAGCGCATTTATTATAAGCGCTATTTTTGTAAGCGCAGTGAGAATTCTTTAAATGCGCCATAAAAACCTACTATTATTATATTATTAATTATTATTATCATGGGGTTGAAAACGCTTGTGAGCGAGTCAATCTGACTTTTCTCATGATTTGTGTGAAAGTTGCACGACACTTTTCAGCTAATCATACGTTTAGTATTAATTACCAAACTAATTTCCACACCATATGTTCATCACACTAAAATCTCTTCAGAGGGTAATTAAGATAGATTAGAATGAAGGAGAAGCCTTAGTTCAAAGTCCTAATGTGCAGGAAAAATAACTGTCTTATAATATGCCTTGTTCTCGTCTGGGTACGCATTCGTTTGCACTCGCGATATGAAATGTCCCAGCAAGACATCCGGGATACAAAATATGCGCAGTATCAGCATGTACTTAGATGAGGAAGTCAAATGCAGTCTGGAAGGCCTTTTGTCGGCAGAGAAGATCAATGGATGGATGTTCGACTTACTCGTTTCGTCAAATCAACAAAATTCAAACGAGATTCAGCAGAAAGGGATTTCATGTCGAACTTGACGGTTTATCTTGATGAAGTAACAGAATACTCGAGGCCATCTCATCAAGTAGGTGTTTACCAGAAAGGGATCACTCGATGGGAATTGTCTATAGAAGCAGCGCTTCCAGAAGATCTAACCGAAAAAGAAACAGTCAAAAGGTTTTTGCATGAACTCTGGAAGTATTCGATTTCCTAATCTTCCGGTCTTTCGCCTTAAAACGATTTTCCAAAATTTTCAATAATTATGTACGGTAATCCTAGATTCTCAAATTTCTAACTATTTCGAGGTATTCCCTTGTATTTTCAAAATTCAACTACCATGTTCCCCAAACGATGTTAAGAAGAATTCCAGCTGCAGTATTTGCTACTGAAAATACGCGTATTTACCCGATCAAACGCCGTAGGTGGAAGCAAAAAATGGGGATTCGGGTTATCTCGATCCATCAAAGTGCTTCCAAAAATTGAAAAATGTTGCCATCCACCTTAAGGAACTAGTTGT